CTGCACAGTGGCTCTCAAACATCTCTAATCAGATCTATTGCCCTCTTCTGGTATGCAGGCATACATTCAGGCAGAGCACTGCATATATAATAAATAAATAAATTGTTTAAAAAAAAAAGACATTTGGCCAGGCGGTGGTGGTGCACGCCTTTAATCCCAGCACTCGGAAGGCAGAGTCAGGTTGATCTCTGTGAGTCCAAGGCCAGCTTGGGCTACAGAGTGAGTTCCAGTAAAGGTACAAAGCTACACAGAGAAACCCTGTCTCGAAAGACAACAACAACAACAAAACCATTTAGGGTCAGTGAGAAGAGTTAGCAGGAAACTGTCTTGCCAATAAAGCTAATGACCTGAGTTCATCCCAGGATGCCCATTGGAGTGAGATGGAGCCAACTCCTACAAGATGCCTTCTTGACACCTTGTACTCTACATGAAGTCATTCCATACACACACACACACACACACACACACACACACACACACACACACACACACACTCACATGTAAATAGTAAATAAATAAACAGATGGTAATAAAATAGTTTTAAGGTAAAAGTAATATAAATGCCATTTATAATAATAAATACCAAAAAATAAACAAGAAACTCTTATGTTTATTAATATTTTAATTAGGTGTATGAAGAGGGTATTAAGTCCATACAGGCCAGGTCCATGTAAAGGCCATCTAAGCCATCTGATGCCCTTTGTACAGCAGTGACAGACAGTAGAATGGAATTGAATGTGTGTTCTGGGAACTGGACTTTGGCCCCTGTAATAGCAGAACATACTTGTAACAGCTAAACTATTCTTTCCAGCCCGTAAACAACAACAAACAACAAAAAACTGTAATCATAGCTGTCCATAAAAGCTAGGTTGGTTTTTTCATAGAATGACTTAAAATCCTGGAAGCACATCATTGCTCTCCATTATTATCCACAATTTAGCACAATTACAATCATATTTCCTTTACTTGCTGTCATGAAAATTACAATTTATGAATATGGATTATTATTGCTTAATTCAAATATTCTGTGTTACCACTCTCACTTGAGAGTTCATGCTGATTTACCAATAACTCCTTCACCACTGAGTACATTAGTAGAACCCAGGTCTGTTGGAGGACACAGAGGTTTCCTAGTGATATCTGAGCTTGATTTGCCAGCAGGGCTGCATAAGGGGATGACTGGACCTCGGGCCTGGGTATAGGTGTTTGGTAGAGTCTGTACCTGGTTGTATCTAGTAAGGGGGAGGTCTTTTGCCTCCCTGCTCGGCATTGTTATAAAAAGCCCTTTGGAATAAAGTTCTGGGCTGGTGGATTAGGATCTAGGCCCCTCTGAGGCTCTTCTCTCTCTCTCTCTCTCTCTCTCTCTCTCTCTCTCTCTCTCTCTCTCTCTCTCTCTTCCCCCTCTATTTCTATCTAAATCTCTTATCCCTCACTCCTCAAGAATACCCAGGGGGAAAGGGTGGGGGTGGTTCCCCCCACAGGTCTCATATAGAAGGAAATTAGCGAAGGAAGTGCTCTGTGCTCACTACGGTGGTGGTATAAGATACAAGCTATATACGTATAGAGTTTTCTACCTTTATTAGTAGGATTAATTCACTTTATAAACTGTTTGGTATCCCTATTCCCCAATGAGGACACAACTAAGGTCATCATATTTAATTAATTTATCTTTAGAATTTCATATATCATTTTAAAACCTCCCTCTCTCCCCATTCTATTTCCCACACATCCACTCAAAACTCTCAAACTCATGAACTCTTTCATTTACTATTTTCACACAGTTTTACATCTACTGCTTTCACACACATATGCACATATGCATGCACACACACAAGAGATTCTATTTGATGTTTCTCAGCTATTCATATGTTTAGTGATGACCATATGGGAATTAAAAAAATGTATAAAGGGTCTCATCCTGGATAAAACCAAGTCTCCATCTCTTGTGAGGGCATCACTTCTTTTTTTTCTTTTTTAAAAATTATTTAGACAATTTCTATTCGTTTTACATACCAACCACAGATTTCCCCTCTCCTCTCTCCTCCCATCCCCCAGCCTCCCCTCCAACCCACCCCCCATTCCCACCTCCTCCAAGGCTAGGCCTCCCATGGGGAGTCAGCAAAGCCTGGTACATTCAGTAGAAGCAGGTCCAAATTCCCCCCCACCAAGGCTACACAAGGTGTCCCACCATAGGCGCTGGGTGCCCAAAAGCCCATTCATGTACCAGGGATGGATCCTGATCCCACTGCCAGGGGTCCCGTAACAGTTCAAACTAAACAACTGCCTTACCTATGCAGAGGGCCTAGTCCAGTCACATGGGGGCTTCAAAGCTATTGGTCCACTGTTCATGAGTTCCCACTAGTTTGGCCTTGAGGGCTCTCTATGTTTCCCCATCTTGATCTTGATGTCCCTTGCTCATAGAATCCCTCGTCTCTCTTATCCACTGGACTCCTGGAGCTCAGTCTGGCGCCTTTCCGTGGATGTCTGCATCTGCTTCCATCAGTTACTGGATGAGGGCTCTATGATTCACCATTCTGATTACTGGAGTAGGCCAGTTCAGGCACCCTCCTGACAATTGCTAGTAGTCTAAGGTGGGGTTATCCTTTTGGATTCCTGGAAACTTCCCTAGCACCAGATTTCTCCCTATTCCCATGATGTCTTCATTTATCATGATATCTCTTCTCTCCCACTCTGCCCCTGTTCCAGTTCCTATCCTTTATGTTCTCATGCCCCATTCCTTACCTTCCTTTGTGCCCACCCCCCCAGTTTGCTTGTGTAGATCTCATCTATTTCTCCTTCCAAGGGCGATCTGTGCATTCCTGTTAGGGTTTTCCTTGTTAGCTAGCTTCTCTGGAGCTATAGGTTGTAGTCCGGTTATCCTTTGCTTTACATCTAGTATCCACTTATGAGTGAGTACATACCATGTTTGTCCTTCTGAGTCTGGGTTACCTCACTCAGGATCATATTTTCTAATTCCATCCATTTGTCTGCAAATTTCATAATGTCATTGTTTTTTACTGCTGAGTAGTACTCCACTGTGTATGTGTGCCACATTTTTTTAAATCCAATCTTTGGTTGAGGAGCATCTAGGTTGTTTCCAGATTCTGGATATTATGAATAATGTTGCTATGAACATAGTTGAGCATTTGTCCTTGTGGTATGATTGAGCATTCCTTGAGTATATGAGAGCATGTGTGGGGTCATCCCTCATGCCCACATTTCCCCAAAGTACTCTTGAGTAGGAGCAGCAGGAAATGTTAGTTAGAGGGATAGAGAGGAGAGAAAGAGAGAAAGTACAGGATGGCCTGGAGAGGGCCTGGATACTAATCAAAGTCTCTACCCTGGTGTATTTAAAGGAATGCCAAGGGGTGGAACAAAAGAACTCCCCCCAGCATAGCTAAGGGTAGACCCTCTCAGACACCTGCACTCAGGCCCGTGGTCAAATCATCCTCTCTATGCAGACCTATTGGGTAAAGCCATCAGGAAAAATTGGCTCCAACAAGAGGGCATCACTTCTAATTCAGACAGAAAAATTCATGTATAGTGAATCCATAGGATCTGTGTTTGTCCTTGATGAAAGTAGGCATTATGAAATGGAAGCATTGTTCTTCAGAAAATTATCAATTACATCTTCAGTGATAAAGAATGTGGATGTTGCAAAGATTCCACAATACACTGGCATGGCCTGTCAATAAGAAATGCTGAAGTTCCACTAACAATACTTTTGCTTTCGGCATCAGATCAGTGTATGAAGTGTCCAGAGGACCAGTATGCCAACACAGAGTAGAACCACTGCCTGTACAAAGATGTGATCTTTCTGGCCTTTGATGATCCCTTGGGAATGACTCTGTCCTGCATGGTGTTGTGTTTGTCTGCATTCACTGTTCTGGTTCTTGGGGTCTTAGTGAAGTATCAAGACACTCCCATTGTGAAGGCCAATAACCTCACTCTCAGCTACATCCTGCTCATCTCCCTCATCTTCTGTTTCCTCTGTTCCTTGCTCTTCATTGGCCATCCCAACTCAGTCACCTGCATCCTGCAGCAAACAACATATGGAGTTGTATTCACTGTGGCTGTTTCCACTGTGTTAGCCAAAACAATTACTGTGGCTTTGGCTTTCAAAGTCACTGCTCCTGGAAGAAGGATGAGGTGGCTCCTGGTATCAGGGGCACCCAACTACATCATTCCCATCTGCACCATCATCCAAATTTTTCTCTGTGCAGTCTGGCTGGGATCTTCTCCTCCCTCTGTTGACATTGATGCACACTCTGAGGATGGCCACATCATCATTGTGTGCAACAAGGGCTCAGTAACTGCTTTCTACTCTGTCTTAGGATACCTGGGCTCTCTGGCCCTGGGGAGCTTCACTGTAACTTTCTTGGCCAGGAATCTCCCAGACACATTCAATGAAGCAAAATTCTTGACATTTAGCATGCTGTTGTTCTGCAGGGTTTGGGTCACCTTTCTCCCTGTCTACGATAGCACTAAGGGCAAGGTCATGGTGGCTGTGGAGGTCTTCTCCATCTTGGCCTCAAGTGCAGAGTTGCTGGGATGCATCTTTGTCCCCAAGTGCTACATAGTTTTGTTAAAACCAGAGAGAAATTCTCTTCAGAAGTTAAGGGAGAAAACATCTTCCAGAACCACCTATTAGGATAAAATGTAAGATGTACACATTACTTAATCACTGTCACTGTTTCTTGTAATAATGATGCCCAGAAGTGTCATGTATATTATTTTTCTCTACATTGTCTCCCATAACCTTCCATTCAGCCACCTATTTTTACAATACTTGAATATTGGATGTTAGTGTGAAGTGGAAATGTTCTTTTCTTCACTACTATACAATAAAATTTGAAACAAACTCAGAGGCTTCTTTTTGAGATGTTAGCAAATGTAGGACTTTGAAAGCAATTGAGTACTGAGGGAAAATGCAGGAAGTTTGTGAACTCATGTTAGCAGATGAAGGCAAAGCAAGGCTAGCCCTTGTAGGGGGAAGACTAGATTATCCTCATGCATTCTGAGAGTTAGAAGAGTAGAACTTAAGAGATAGGGATGTTTTGATAAACAGATAGAATAAATGCAGAAGCTGGAGTGATGTCTCAGTAGACAAAGTCATGTACTGCTCTTGCAAAGTGGCTGAGTTCAATACACAGCCCTCATAAAATGCAGTTCACACCTGCATGTAACAGTACCACCAAGGGAACAATGCCTTCTTTTGGCCTCCAAGGACACTTATATACACACTTGCATATAACAATACACTCAACACACACACAATTTGAGTAGACCAGGCAGCTGAGCAAAGTGGGTTTCTATGAGAATGAGGGGAATGAATCATGGGAAGAGCCCTGGGGCTTTATAGGTGCATGAGGCATCATTTTCCTCTTTTGGGGACTCCTTATGTAAAAGAGCATGTGCCAGTCCCCACCTTCCTTATTGATTCTTATTTAATCTTCTTGAACTAGTCTTCCTGACTGATCTGGCTCTCTCTGACATGTTTCATGAAGTCCTAGTTCACATACAGCCATCACTCAGATCAGTTGTGAAGCCAAGCACCATGATCTTTTGCTGATTCTATCTGGAGTCCTGGGTTCAGAGAAGCCTCCACCTCAATGGCTGCAAATGCCTTTCTGGATTGAAGTTCTTTACCAGTCCATGGTGTGAGTTGAAGGAATATTACCAACTTAGCAAAAGGTGAAGGACTATGAGGAAGTGATAAGATAAAGGTTGCTTGGATGTTTAGAGTAACTCAGAGAAGTGAGTACAGAGTCAGTGGGAGTAGTTACATCTGGGCATTTGACACAGGGCACCATAATTCATAGAGAGGCTCCAGGTATTGACTGCAAATTCATTGTTCTGGTTGACATTTGGTGCCAGGTTATAAAATGAGGTCCTGAGTTTGCAATAACTTAGTATGTAGCTCATTTTACAGTGACCTGGTACAGTATAATCTTCAAGAAAAGATACATCGAGTGTAAAGAATTTGGATTTCTTCAGAATAAAAACATGTAATAAAAGAAAGCAAGACAAATTGGTGAAATGTCTTAAGAGTTTCAAAAACAAAACACTATATCAACATAAATTTGTTGTACTGAATGTCAAATTTACAAAATATTTAAGCATATTTACATATATGACTCTTGAATCTGTTCATGAGCATATGTAATTGATAGAGGAAATAAATCTTATTTGAATACAGTTGTCAAGCTAATAAAAATGTGAATGATCCAAATGGAGGAATTCACAAAAAGGAGTTCATCAGCAAATGAAATCAATGACAAAAGTAGTAGTGAATGAAAGAAGAGGACTCAAAATGCAGGATATATCTCAACATAAAAGGATGGATGCAGAATTCATTTAGCCTAATATGATTACTTAAAGAAATAACAGCCTATGGGATCAAATGCCAAATCATGACTTCATATGTTAGTGTTCAGATAGTGAAGAACAATCATGCTTCAAATCTCTTTAAGACACATGGGAGCTAGGTTTTAAGGTTTTTCTTCATAGTATATGTTTTGTCCCTAATGTGATGAAGTGAATTCCTTTCTGGCCTTAATAGTATGATGTAGCACTTGGGAACAAAGATGATGCCTAAGAGTGATGCATTGGAAGCCAAGATAGAAAGGACTTCCATAGCCACCATGACCTTCCCCTTGGTGCTGTGGTAGACAGGGAGGAAGCTGACCCAGACACTGCAGAACACCAGCATGCTGAAAGCCAGGAACTTGGCTTCATTAAATGTTTCAGGCAGATTTCTTGACAAAAAAGCCATAACGTAACTCCCTAGAGCCAGTGTTCCCAGATATCCCAGGATGCAGTAGAAGGCAATAGCTGAGCCTTTGTTGCAAATGATGATGATGTGTCCGTGTTCTGAAAGGACATCTTTGTCAATAAATGGAGGAGAGGTTGCCAGCCAGATTCCAGAAAGAACAACTTGCAGCAGGGTGCAGATGGGAATGATGAAATTAGGGGCCCTTGCTATCAGTAGCCACCTCCTCATTCTCCCTGGAGCAGTGATCTTGAAGGCTATAAGTACAGTGAGAGTTTTGGCCAGCACAGTGGAAAGAGTCACAGTGAACAGAAGTCCAAATGTGTTCTGCTGCAGGATACAGGTGACTCTGCTAGGATGGCCAGTGTAAAGCAAGGGACAGAGAAAACAGAGGGTCAGAGTGATGAGCAGGATGTAACTGAGATCATGGTTATTGGCCTTGACAATGGGAGTGTCTCTGTGCTTCAGAAACACCCCAAGAACAACAGTTGTGAGTGATGAGAAGCCCAGGGACAAGAAGCTGAGTGTCTTTCCCAGGAGTTTATCATAGGCCAGAAAGGTCACAGTCTTATGTTGACAGTGGCTCTTCTCAGTGTTAGCATATTGAGTTTCTGGACACTTTATACATTGATCCACATCTGGCAGAAATGCAGATCATCATGAATGCATACTCAGGTTCTCCTCCCCCTTTTTAATATTTTATTTTATTAATATTTTTATTTTACATACCAATCACAGTTACCCCTTTTCCCACTCCCCCCAACCTCTCCCCACCCCCACACTCATCCACTCTTCATATGGGTTAAGGCCTCTATTGGGTAGTCAACACAGGCTGGCATCCTAAGCCACTTCCCTGCTCCAGAACATTGCAATGTTATCTAAACCACCTTCCTCTGTTTCAGATACATATACAGAAGGAATAAACTCAATTTATCTTCTGGTTCATGCTGGCAGAAATTAAACAATGCTAATGCTTTTTCTGTTGTTACTCATATGTTATCCTCACCTTTAGTGACACTGTTGTGTCTGTTTTATAAGTCATTAGAACACTCATATACATTGCATGAACCTAATTTAGCTCTGACATTGCCTCTTTATTAATACATCTCCATTCTTAACAGGGCATGAAACTTCAGTGTAATAGAATGTCCTTTGAAATACTCATCCTACAATGATGTTCTCTTCTACATATCCCAAATGTATCTACTTTCATAAACTCTATGGTGTTCTCTAAGTCTCGTCATTCTCTGAAGGAGCCTGAGTGAATTAGTATTCTTAAGTTCTTGTGGCCTTGAATAATTTCATCAGTGACACTGCTCTCATAACTCTGTACAGTAATGTCTATGTAATGCATAAATATAGCACTGCTCATGTATTCTTATGTCTTTATGGAACAGAGTTTGAATGATCTGTTCCTGGTATCTTATCAATTTATTCTTGGATTATGATGTATACTTATGGATTTTTCTGTTATATTTTCAATGTACTAATAATGCCCATATTTCTATATAGTTTTTATTTTTTGATATATTTATTTCTCTTTATATCATCACATTAACATTCTTACTCCCTATACAACACATTCTGATCATGATTTTGCCATCCTTCAACTCCTCCAAGATTCTCCCCACCTCTATGTCCACCCAATTCCACATTCTTTCCCCTATGTCATTAAAAAAGGAAAAAACAAAATCCCAACAAACCAAACCAAACAAACAATTTAAAAAACGTCTCTCTCACACAGGCACACACAAACAATAAAAATAAAAAACACAAAGTTGTAAACCAAACTATAAAAGAAAAGTCGAATAAAACCAGAAGAAAATAAATAAATAAAAATAACATCCCAGAACAGCACCACCTCTCCTGGGCTCCATATTCTGGCCCACATTTCTTGTAGCTTTACTGGAGCCTCACTGGTCCTAGAGACCCCAGCCTTCTCAACAGCTTGAGGCTGTACTATCTCCCCTAGGCTCCATATTTCTGCCCACAACTTCAGCAGAAGACTTATGCTTTATCTAAGGCCAGGTTGGTTTTAGGGATGGAAGCACCCCCTTCCCTGGGATCTATATTCCATCTAACTGCTCTGGCAGCTTTACTGGAGGATAGGCTGGTCCTAGGGACCCTAGGTAAGACTCTGAACACTGGTGGCTAACACTCCTTAAAGCCTGCACAACATCTCCCAATAACAACCCCTCTCTTTTGCTCCATATTCCAGCCCACAACTCTGGCACCTTTACTAGAGGTCAGGGTCAACCTAGTGACCCCAAGTAAGATACCATACCACCTTCTAATACTCCTTAAGGTCTTCCCAACAGCCCCCAATTATACTCCCTCCCCTGGGCTCCATATTTTGACCCACACCTTAGGCAGAAGATGTCTGCTTTATCCCAGGCCAGGGTGGTTCTAGGGACCCAAGATAAGACACTGTACAGTGCTAACCAACACTCCCTAAAGCTGGCCTAATAGCCACTAATTGTACCTCTACTGCACTCCCTCTCCCAGCCCACAACTTCAGCAGATAACCTATGTTTTACTGGAGGATGTGGGATGCTATGAATCCCAGATAAGAAGCAGGTACCCAGAATACCGGAGGGCACACAGGTTCTTGGAACCTCACATGCAAGTTTGGTATGCAAATCCCAGAGGTCATGAGGGCCACAAAACCCACTGGAGAGACCTTACTGGACCAATAGACTGCCTAGTAACCAGAATCCCAAGTCACTTAGTCCAGAGGAACAGAGAGGAAACAGAAACCAAGGAACAAAACCCACATTCAACAAAAACAAAGTCAGGATTAACATCTAGATGTATAATCAATGCAAACCTAGATGCCTAAATGCCAGTGTATGAACACAATCAACAATAGAAAGAGCAAAATTGTACCACCAGAACCCAGATATCCTATGACAGAAAGACTTGAACATTCAAACACTGCTGAAGCACAAGAAAGCAATCTTAAAAAACAACTTCATGAAGATGATAGAGGAAAGAGGGAATGAAAAAAATCTCTTGAGGAAACTGGGGAAAAGTCAAACAAAAAAATTGGAGGATATTGATAAATTCCTTAAAGAATGCCAAGGAATTTGGGAAAATACAAACAAACAGGTGAAGGAAACTGTTCAAGACCTGACAGTGGAAATGGAAGCAATAAAGAAAACACAGATGAAGGGAATCCTAGAAAAGGAAATTCTGGGTAAGTGAACATCACCAACAAAGTTCCAAAGATGGAAAAGGGAACCTCAAGTGTTGAAGATACAATAGAAGAAATAAATTCATTGGTCAAAGAAAATGTTAAATCTAAAAATTCTTAACAAAAAACACTCAGGAAATTTTGGAAACTATTAAAAGACTAAACTAAGAATAATATGAGTAGAAGAATGCCAGCTTGAGGGCCCATAAAAAATATTCAATAAAATCATAGAAGAAAATTTTCCTAATCTAAAGAAGGACATTCCTATAAATGTACAAGAAGCCTACAGAATTCCAAAGCGATTGAACCTGAAAAAAAAGGCCCCCAAGCCACTTAATAACTAAAACACTAAACATAGAGAACAATGAAAGACTATTAGAAGCTGAAAAGAGGGAGAAAATAGCATATAAAGGCAGACCTAGTAGAATTACATCCTGCTTCTTAATGCAAAGTCAGAAGCCAGAAGAATCAGGGCAGATGTTATATAGACTCTAAGAGACCATGGAGGCCAGTGCAGACTACTATCAGACTACTATACCCAGCAAAATTTTCAATCACCATAGATGAAGAAAACAAGATATTTCATAACAAAGTCAAATTTAAACAATATCTACCCACAAACTCAGGTCTTATAGAAGATATGAGAAGGGAAAGACCAAACCAAGGAGTTTAACTACACCCATTAAAATAAGGCAATAGATACTCTAATACCCCCCCCAAAAAGAATGGAAACACACACACCATCACCACCACTACCACCACCACTACCACTACCACCACCAAGAAAATAACAAGAATTAACAATCATTGGTCATTAATATCTCTTAATATTAATGGACTCATTTCCCCAATAAAAAGACATAGGTAACAGAATAAGTATGAAAACAGAATCCATCCTTTTGCTGCATACAAGAAACACACCTCAACACCAAATACAGAAATTACCTATGGTGATATTTTATTTGTATTAAAATGTTATTTGTATGTTAATAAATAAAGTTGCCCAGGGGTCAGAGCTATTAGCAAGCCATAGGAAAGCAGGGCAGTGGTGGTGTACGCTTGTAATCCCAGCACTTGGTAGGCAGAGCTAGGTGAGTCTCTGTGTGTTCAGGGATACAGCCAGTATTGGTTACACATGCCTTTAATTTCAATACCAATCATAGAAAACCTGGAGGCCTATACAGGCAGTCATGTGGTTGGGTTTACAACCAATGAGAAGGCAGAACAGGAACTCTATATAAAGACTTTAACACGGGTAGCTCTGGTTAGGAGAGGTAGGACCACCGCAGGAGCAGGAGGAAGGGCAAGGTTTTAGCTCTTAGCTCTGACCTCTTGGCTTTCTTCTTTGCATTGGTTCTGTGTTTCTTATTTAATAAGAAGGTTGGTTACATCTACATTTGGCGCCCAACGTGACAAGAATCCATTAAAAACCGCTTGGCTTGGCTTGGCGGCAGGTCCAGTTTCCAGCCTGGGCAGCCCGGCTCCCTAGCTCAGGCCCAGTCTGCTACAAACAACTCAGGCCTGCCCTACATGTGAAGCCAAGGCTTGACTCGGTTCAAGTGGCTATGCTTTCTTGCTCTCTCTCTCTCTCTCTCTCTCTCTCTCTCTCTCTCTCTCTCTCTCTCTCTGGATTCACAACTCGAATACCAGGTGGCTGATTTGAAATTCCCTGGGATTCTACTGTTCTACACAGACTTGGTAAGTCAATTAACATATCTATTTAAAAGAGAATTTTTTCTACATTAAAAAAATGGGCTTTATGTGTACATTGGAAGAAAATTGGGCTTTGTTTGAAATTTTAGGCACTCTGACAATGGAACAACTATATGAGAAGATTAATATTGATTGAATTATTCAGTTTATTACTTTTCTTATCCTCATTTTACTATTTAAAAAGATAGTTAATTTAAGTGCCAGGATAACAGTCTTAGAAAAACTTGTTAAACCTGTAAAAATGAATTATAGAGAAATTCAAATTCAGACAGAAGAAATTAACAGTGAAGTTGTTTCAAAATTGGATCATAAGGTTACAGAAAGAAAGCCAGTTTTCACGCAATCACCCTTAATTTATCCGGCAGCAATACAGCAGCTACCTGATGAAGAAAATGAACAAAATACTTGGATTCCAGTTAAAATGTTAGATTTGTGATTTAAGGAGGCAATAGCATCTGATCTACTCAAAGCAACTAAATAACCAAATGCCTATTGAAATAAATCATGTTGGTCGAGATTGATGAAACAGAGAGAATAGGAAATTCAGGAGAAAACATAAAGAAAAATTTTTGGCAAACTTCTATTAATGAACAAAGACCAAAACTAACAATAAAAATAAATGGTGTTTTGTTGTCTGGTCTGGTAGACACAGGTACTGACATTACCATAATTGCACCAGAATTTTGGCATCCAACTTGGCCTCTTCAGGAGGTAAATGTTCAACTATTAGGA